TGATCTCTTTTTCTTTTCTTTTTTTTTCTTTTGTGTGAATGCCTGATATCTTATCTGTATGGCTTTTGTGTGCTTGTTCTCTACCGGGTGCTCTGCTTGGATGTGGCTGCAATTAAGAGAGGCTATATGACAAGCCACAACGGAGAGGACGCATGTCTTTGAAAATTAAGTGGGAAACAAAGTGGAGTGGGGAATGTATAAACAGAGCATGTTGCTGTTTCAGATTACTCAACACATGCAGCTGCCCTTTAGCTTCCTTGGTTACTTTCCAATTCAATGCGTCTAAAACTCTTAATTAGACATGATGCATACAAGAAATAAAATATTGTTTAATAAGTTTAATTTTACTCAGAAAGCATGTGGTTTAAATTGATTGACTGAAAATATATGTAATTTAGCTGCTGTTTTCTGAAGCATTGATGAGTCTGTGTCCCATGAAGTACTTGCAGGATTTTTTGGGAACAAATGGTTACTACTGAGCTAATGCACTCCTTCTTTCTGAGCGTCTCATAAAGGTTGAATCACTATGCCTCGAGTGCACAGCAAAATAGATGCTCTCTCTTCAACGTCGGTGCTGAATCCAAGGACTAATTATAACTAGTACATGATGGCTGGGATCTTTGTTCAACATTTGAAAAGCAAGACAGGTTACCAGGATCATGGTGATTAGCAGGAAGAAATCCTTGATTGGTGAGTGCATGTCTGAGAATAACTGAACTCATTAAAACGTATGTTTGACGAAGAAAGATGGGAATGAATTGCTCTAGAAATTATCTTCCTCTGTCTAATTTCTGAGTACACTAAGTGCTGTTGAACTATAAATACAGTAGGGCAAGTGAAAGCTTTGTCAAATTGAACACAATGATTTAAATGTAGAAAGTCTTTAGGAAAATTTTTGGTGGTCGACCAAAGTTCTGGCTGGATTTTCAGCCAATTTCATGTACAAATTGTAGATCGTAAACTGGGCTTCAAGTGTGTTTCATGTAATTAATATCATACTATTCCATAGACTTGATGTCACCCTGATCTATCTTGTGTCTTTGTTACAGTGCTCCAAAAAAATTTCTGATTTGGTTCCTGCTGATCTTCTGCTTTCAATCATCTGATCAAAGCCGTTGCTCTCAAATGAAATAAAATAACTTTGGATGTTCATAAATTGTCCACAGAAGGAGGTTTTGAATCATAGATTAAGGCTGCATTCACACCATCCACTTTGGTCAAACTCTATTTTGTTTGCCTAGAAAGTCCGGATTGTTTGGCGAAGTGTGAAAGCGAACTCTGATGTGGACTGAAGTGGACTATACCGTAGGCATTCTGGATAAATGCAACTGCTGAAATCTAAGACAACTCTATTTTTGTTTACAATTTGCAAAGAAGGATGTAGCGCTCATGTCTTTTTCAGAAGTTTTTGGGTCATTTCCACAGGTGGAAGGGTAAACAGGTTTTTCTAATGGTTTGCATCATTTGACACAGTGAGAGAATCGCACTAGCTGAAAGGGTAACAAATGTTGACATTTTGGTTCCCAAGTATTTTAATCCTAACCATATCAACTGTTAAAAACATTTTAACGATCAACATTGAAAAATAAAACAGGATAACTTCATACAGAATTACCTCAATGACACTGAAAACTTTTATCTTAGTTTTTAAAAGCCAGAAACATGCCCTGAAACCAATTGATTTACTTGAATTTTATTGTTTTTGATAATAGACAAAAATCCCGTCCGAATGCAGGTTGTATCACGTTCTTAATGGGGAATGTCAGGTACTCCAGCTCAGAACAAGCGATGCTGTTGCACACATTACATTTTTTTCATGTACAGCAAGATACCAGAAGTCATCTACAGGGCTGTGGTTTAATTGCAGACTGCTATCTTTCTGTGTGCAGGGGGGAAAGCATCAGTTCTGCAGGGACCAGCAGGACCTATGAAGTCAGTGCACTGTCAGGAACGAAGCGTTTTCAGGCAAGAACCTTTTGAAACAGGACAGGATGAACTTAATCTGTGCTACCCTCTTCATTATCGGCATTATCTAAAATACTTATACTACTTTTATCCTGTTTACGTCTAAGTAGTTGTTAGTCAATGTGTTTTTACACATGCTTACCTGACTTATGTAACACTGCAATCTTTTTTTCTGCCATGTATGGTAGGCTAAAGAGTTTTCCAAGACCCAGATTAACAAATTATTTATGCCATACATAACTGTCAAACAGCATAAAGATAAAATTAATTAATTTAAATACAGATAATTTGAAACCTAAATTCAATAAAGAAATTGTAAAACATGGAGTGGGGTAATTTTCAATCATTTGCAATTAGAATGATTTCTTCTTGAGATGCATTTAAGCTTTGATAAAAAACGTTTGCAGCTGGTCTCCTGCTAATCCCAGACCTGTCACATCTGCACTATATGTTAGTTTATAATCTACATTATTTCCCTATATATACAGGATGTTTATGCACATTCCTGATCAATTTCAGCTTTAATGAGAAGACCTTATCAGAAGTTTCATCAGTTTTCTGCAAAGTAATGCAGCATGCCTTCCTATCCAATAGTTTTTCTTTGTCTATCCAGCAGCCATACTACTTATTGCACAGTTTCTTTTGTTAGTTTATTAATTTCTGCTTAAGTTAGCTCCTAATGCACGCATAAAGGAGTTCTGCTAAGGATATTAAGCTGCAGCAATTTTTTATCTGATCGCAATTCACACAATAAAACTTCAGCTGATTTTTCTCTTGTTGATGATAAAACTATTTTTTTCTCCCACTCAAACTCCTCTATTGGATAATTTTTAAAGATTTAAGTGTTAAACTGGAAGCAGATTGTGTCTTTGTTACAGTGCTGTTAAAAGTGTCTAAAGATCAAATTTAAAATTGATTATTCGCTAAGCACTTAGTTTTGTGAAGGGACACTACTTATTCATACCTTCAGTTCAGAAGGTTTTTATGTCTGAAAGATTTATAGATTAAAGTTAAATGGCTTAACTGTCAGAAAAATAGCTCTGTGTTCAGCAACAGAAGACATAAGTACATAACCAGACGTGACTGACTAACCTTTTGCAAAATGTTCTTGAAGGAAGATTTTTTCTTTAAAATGCTTAGAATAGATTTATATTAGCATTTTTCTTCTCCTGGTCAAGATCAAATGAATGTTTACGTTACAGTATCACACTGAAAGTGGATTTTTTTAAATATGTCTGGTTATATTTTCAAGTTACTCTCCTTAAATGCAAGTGCTAATCATCACTTTTGGTTGATAAAAGAAATAGGTTAGCATTGAATGTACATTGAAACAGGGAACATCAAAGGACAGGTTACCAGGTAGTTGCTGCAAACATTAAACATTTATTAGCAACTAAATGACAAGCAAAGAGTGAGAATCATTAGAGGGATATGTTTGAGACCACGAAAAGTAAGACACAGACAATAATCACAGTGAAAAACAGCTGAATGCTCTCGGCACATGAAAAGACGAGATTAAAAATAATCCTTTTCAAGTCAACTTTTAAAGCTTCTGCTGCAGCTGCAGAGGCACCGACAAACATGCATGCAAAAAAAAAAAAAACACAGCTAAATTGTAATTGGATGTACTGCACAGCTTCACAGCCAACACGTTAACTGAAAAGTAACAAATTATACACCGATTTTGATGTGAAAAACAAAAATTAAGCCATACAGATAGAAAATTTAATTTAAATTTATTTAAATTTATTTTTATTTGAAGGGGGGTGAATAAGACTGACATGACACCGTCATAAACATGACATAACACCTGTCATGAACATGAATAAGCCTTCATGAATATTTATGACTGTGGCCATAAAGCGTCATTCGGTAAATTATGACACTTTTATTACAAAGTTGACATTATTCAAAATGTCTTTGTTATGACCAACCAAGAAATCATTACTGTTATAAATTTGTTATAAAAGTATTACTGATTGCACTTTAAAAATTAGGTAACTTTATGTTATTAAAGGTAAAGTTTAATCAGTAATGATTTCTTGGTTAATGTCAAGTTGTCATAAAGACATTTTGAATAATGTCAACTTTGTATTAAAAGTGTCATAATTTACCAAATGATGCTTTATGACAATAGTCATAAATATTCATGAAGGCTTACTCATGTTCATGACAGGTGTTATGACATGTTTATGACAGTCTTATTCAACCCCCTTCAAATAAAGTGTTACCGAAAATTTTGCGTACAAAAAATAAAAATTAAACAGAATTTCATGTCAAACTCTCAATAAGTTCAAGTAAAGGAAATATATTTTATATAACTGCAGACTTATTCTTTAGAAAATACACTATATAAACTATTCACAATGTGGCTGTGATCCACATTTTACTGTGTCATGGAACATCCCTGTGACCCAGACACTCAGGTAAATTAGTCAATATCAATCTGATATGTATTACAATACTGACAGTGGCTGGACAGACATTAAATTGGGAAAAAAAGGCAAGTAGTGTAAAAAATGACAGCAAAATCAGAAAGCTTTGATCACTTTAAAAGCATGAGGCACTTGTATTGGATTTTGAAGTCAGATTTAATTATTGAGGTGAAATCCAACAGATTTTCCAGCTGAAATGGAACGCCATAGGTAGTAATCTTTATTAGAGTGAATCTCTTCTTGTGTGACAAGCAGAAAGCAAATTTACTGAAACTCCTACAAATGCCTTACAAAGTGGAAACGACAATCACAAGGACACACATTCTTGCATATGTTAAAATTTTTGTGACCACAGTCACCAGGAATAATCAGGTACAAAACGGAGGGAGTTTTTGCATTTTGTGACATGTATATTTGTTTAAATTTTCTTCTGGATACATAAGCATGTCAATGAGTTTCCTTAACTTTCTGTACAGTGCTACCTTGTAGTGTTCTCTTTCTTTGTTAAACCACAACATTATTGGTGGTTTAATTTCGTTATTTAAAATTATCCAGAATGAAGGAAGGTTTCTAAATTCACTAATAATATTTTGAATTTTCCCTTTTGTCTTTGGTATGAGTGACTTTTCCATAACTTGAAAACCAATAAATAATCTTTGGAACCTTTTTTTTTATTAAAAATTGTTTCCAACCCCTGTCACATAACTTCTCCTTTATGCTTTTCACTTTAATGGCACAGGAAAACAAGTCTATATGGAATATTGTTTTTTAATACCCTTCAACACAGTAGGACAAACAATTTGATCACAAGCTGACTGCAACAAATCAATTTAGACATAAGAAATTCAGCTGCATGAACACAGCATGCCTTTCTCCATGTACGTAGTAATTCTGCACATTTGAGGCACTAAAACCGATCAACACAACTTTGACTCAAATGATCCAATAATAACATCAATTAACCAAACTTTACCATCTGCAATGGTGAAGATCCACTCACCTTAGCATGCTGCATGCTTGAAACTGAAAGTGAAACTGATCTGTATCTCACTTCCCGAGTTATTTTTCCAACTATCCAACCTTCTTTGGGGACTATAAGAGCACTGGAATTTCCCCAATGCGCCAAGACCATTAAACAGTATGTGAAAGAAAAAGTAAATAAAAGCAGACAATGACATCACAGCAAAAGTAACATACCAAGACCTTATTTTAATTATGTAAAGCACTTTGAAATGCCTTGCTGCTGAAATGTGCTATACAAATAAAATTTGATTTGATTTTGATTTGTGCAGCAGAAACTGCAATTTTCACAGACTTTATCCCAACAAACATTCACCTTTCAGAACAGGGGCACATCAACAACAGTATGTACTTCAAAGATGCAGGACTTTTAAAATATCCAATTCACTTCCTGAAAAGCGCTCTTAATTTTATACAATAGTCAAAAGAGCAAGGTAGGTAACAGAGTGATTCAAATGTGTACTAGGGTAAAACATAACATAAAATACATTGCATGGAGAAGTTTATCTGGACCCAACACAAAACATTTTAAGATTTTATTCTCTGTTAATGGAGGTAATGGAGAAATATAGCACACACTAAATCTTTAGAGGTTAAAATATAATTTTTTTTCTTTGTAAAAACAAAAGTTTCATTAATACAACATTCCAAGCAATAACTTGTTTTTACATCCGTCATGCTACCTGTGCCGTCACTGCCATCTTACGAACACCCTGTTTTATGTAAACAATAATCTGTGCTTCTTCTGATTGGAGCTTCACATTTAGTTTCAGATGTGATCCTAATTAAAGGTGCACACCAGTTAGCAGCAAGAAAAGGAAGGAGCTTCCACAACTTTTTTTAGATAAGTGTATCTAACTTCAGGATTTGTATGCAGGAGCTTGCGTCTCGTTTTTTAAGGACTCGTCTATTGAGTGGCCTCCAGAGGCAGTTGGATAAATGGAGTTTCCTTCATGACAAAAATAAGGGCTCTTTTGTCATCTCAATCCTCTCATCCAGATTATTTTTAACAGATGCAATATCACAGCCCCAAAAGCCCTTCATACCAGTGCAGCATGAGTTGTTGCAGGTGGATATTAAAGAGTCAAACGTATAAAATGAATATGCTTGCTTTTAACACCTGCACCAGAGTCACAGCTTGGGTTCAATGATTTCTTTAAATCCAGGTATAAACTTGATTGGAGTGTCTCGTTGAGTCTCTCTCTAGAATAATAAAAAAAAAGCTTTTGATCAGTCCTTTCAGCCATATAAAAACTCATGAATCGTGTTGGGCATTGGAACTTCTTCAGTATCGACTAATCCATGTAGAGTTCACAATGCTCCCTCGTTTTTAGTTGTCGTTTGTGTTAGCTACCTTTGTCAGAACTTAAATTACACAAGGAAATAATGAGTCCCACGGTTCCATCGATAGAAAATTTAATCGGGCGCTTTTTGCATTCTTTGCCAGCTACAGCGTTTCCTCCTCATCCTCAGCAGTTGCACTTATATTCAGTACAGGCAGGTTTTCCTTCAGTGAGATATCATCCACTCTTTTGGGGCCGCTGTCCTCCAGCTCTTCAGGTATGGAGGGATCAGAGTTTGTCATCACATAACCCGGAAGGGTGGCATGCACGTTGATGGAGGGCGCGCCCGTGCTTCGATAAGCTCGACTCGAAGCGAGGGTGGTGGAGCGCGTGGAAAGGCCTCCGCCGGCCAGGTGGGACTGACTGCTGGTGCTGTTGTTGTTGAGACCTACGACCACGGAGCCGTAACGGTAGCGACCGCAGACCACCGGGCCCTCCCACTCAAAGGAGAGGTTCCAGCGTGTCCACGTTTTCTTTATTTCTGTCTGAACCTGCAAGAAACCGAAAAATGTATATTTTAGGAGAATTTGACTTCTAATTTGACTTTATTTCACCTTTAAGGTGATATTTTACAGGGACACAGCAATGTTCTTAACCCATCTAACCCTGCTTTGGAGAAGTACATTGAGATTCTTCTCCAGAAACTCCTGACGGGTTAAAAGACTTGGAGAAAAACCTTGTGTGCATAAAACCGCTGAAATGTTCAGCTTTACTGGCAAGTTTGAGCCCATAAGCTTGGTTTCACAAACTCCCGATGTACAGATATTAAAATTAAATAGATACACTTTAGAGGAGATAAAAAATTAAAAAGAAAAAAAATCTAAATATGTGTATGCATGTTAAATTAAAGTTGTTATATTGGCCTGACAATGACTGTCGGACCTTTGTCTGGTTTTCTGTTGTGACATAAGAGACATGTTGGGGAGTTGCACATAACTTTTGATTGTCAGATTCTCCAACACCTGCCTAAAATACATTGCTATATTTACAGTGGCACTGCTCAAGCTTTCAGGTGTTTGTTCTTGATATGTCATCTCCTCGTGAAATAAAACTCTTAGAGGCTGATCTCTGGTCTGCATGTGGACCAAATTATATCCATATAAACACATTCATTTACAGGACTTAACTTTTTGGTCACAAAATGTGACAAGGAGTCATATGTTCACTTATTTGTATTGAAATATTTTATGTGGAGATTGTTCCATCAGTGTTAATTAGAGTTTAGTAGTTTGAGAAATTAAGAATAAAGCCACTGCACTTACTTTTTTCAAGCATGTTGAATTTTTTTTTCTTGGTTTAGAATAATTGTTTTTGTTTTTATATTCCTTTTTAGCTGAACGAAGAGTTTTCAGTAATAAGAAACATAGGTTAAACATTAAGATAAAAGCTTATAATTTTACTGAAACATGTCAAAATGGGTTTGTTGCTTTTGTAATTGTTGCAATTTAAGCCATTTTAGCAATCTATAAATCTACACTGCTATATCTATATTTGCTTTTAGCATTTTCTCTCCAATAGCTGCACTTACAGAAAAAATATCAACTCACCTCTCCGTTGCAATAGCAATAGATGATGGACACAAAGAAGCCCTGGGGAAAAAAAAAAAAAAAAGCATATTGGTAACTCAGGGCAAAATGGATTACACTATAATTATAATCACATGTTCCATCTGAGGGCATCAGAGAAACGGAATGATGCCAAGAAAGGCCTAAAATTACCAGCTACTGCCTATTTGCTTCTCTTGGTACAATAAATAGAAGGAAGCTAGATTGAGATTTGTTCTTCCATGCTTCGCTGTGTGTTCATTCAAATCATGACAGGAACAAATTAAAAGTATGATCCCTGTGAAAATTGAAGTTGTTTCAAACATCACATCACAGACGTATGACCTTCTTCATGGAGCAAATAATCTAATATTGGGGGAAAAAAATAGGAAAAATGCACAAAGTTAGACCAAAATACCTTTTCATGGTGAAGACAAGAAAGTATTTGGAAAAATTATTACAGCAAAACCTACAAATTTTAATTGGCAATATATACGATAGACCTACACAAAGTTGGTGTTTGGGGACACGTCTGCACCAGTTTTGCAGATCGAGAGACAGAAAACGGCACCCTTTCTTTGAGACAGGACTGATAAAATCTGTGAACATCCAATTTTTTTTGTTGATTTTCTTTTGAATTTTGATTGGGCCATTTTAACACATAACACATTCTACGGTAACTGTCTGTATGATTGTGATGCCGCTCAAAAGTGTTTCATAATTTCAGCTCCAATCATTGTCCACTCATCCATGACCAGCTTCCTCAACCCTGCTGAAGAAAACACCGTGTCCATTGGACTTTGTGGAGATTGCAAACAGTTTTTTTTAGTTTGTTTTTCTATAGACATAGATTTTTGTCTACAACAGATTATTAGGGCCATGCTAAGAAAATTAAAAAAATAAAATTATGAAAATAAAGTCATACAACTATTAGAATAGCATCATACTATTGTGAGAATAAAGTGAAAATATTATAACTTTACTGGTAATATTCTCGTAATATGACTATCATATTATTATGACAATATTCTCATATAATTTCAACTTTATTCTTGCAATATAATGACTTGAATCTATTCTCACACCACTTTATTCTCATTATTGTTGTTTTTTTAGTATGGCTCCGTCGTGATTGTCCAGGTACTCTGGTTTTATCCCCTTGTCTAAGAACATGCTTAATAATAGAAGTAATAATAATCTCATCTTATAACACACACATATATAGTCTCCATTGCAACACTGACTAGGAAATAAGCAACTATAGGCACCAAATGGACCAGCATACAAAGCTTCACTCTCCATTTCTAAGCCTCCGTTTTTATCATCTTTATTGTAAGAACTCTCCCTTTGTGCAAGTTAATTTTCATTTAGACTTTAAAATGTTTTTGCACTTCTACCTTTTAGCCAATAAGCTTCATAAGCTGCAGGTCAGTGTCATTTGTCTCATCAGGTGGCAGACTAATTTTGATCTTTATTGTACAACAAAATATCATTTTTGTCTCAGGATACCATCATAAATGCAAGAATAGCGTCCACATCAAATTCACTTGGCAGTGTCACAAAAGCAGAAATCCCATCAACCTTCACTGATGTGATTTAATGGCTAAGGGGAATAGAAAGGTTCCATCCCTCTCAATTTATTTAATTTCTGTTTCCGTCAGTAAGACCGCTGCACCTGCCATCTGCTATGTAAATTGTGGAATGATTATTCATGATTTATGCATTTCAAGTAAATGCAATAAAAGGGTAACCTCTCTCATTAAGGAATCAAGAAAAAAAAAATCCACTTTTTTAAACTTGGTTTTGGAAAAATCTACCTACACAGTAATTATACACCCACGTGAGTCATAATTTCTGTCGCAAAGCTTTATTTTCAGTTTCACGCCTCATCAATATGAAAGGATATTTTTATCTACTGCTGCTGCAGCGCAAAGATGATTCTGCAGCTCATCCATCTTTAACCCACTTTGGTCACTCTGATCTAATGAATTCTGACGCCAATTAAATATGACGAACATACTTTTTTAAAACAAAAATCCTTGAATAACTGGAGTAACAAAAACAACCTGAGGTTTTCAAAAATGATTTTATTCATTAAGAGGTGAATAACATCCTAAATTACCTAACCTTGTTAAATTATAAATATATATTGTTCTCTGATTAACCACATTTTTGGACAGCCGAGTTCAATTTCATTATCAGTACTGAATACTGATGACCTGCAGAATCAAGAAAGCAATTAAACAGACAATATAAAGTGGACTAAAAGGTCTCAAAAAACACTATGACTCCTTAAATTAACAAAATTCCCTTTAAACCTCAAAGCTGCTTGCCAGCAAGCTGACAAGTTTTTGTGATAACTGGTTATTGTTTCATGTCATTTTTGACCCACTTTTGCAGAATAGTTTTAATTCACCTTTATTAGATTGATTGTTTTGAGCCCATTTAAGGTCATTTTACAACATCAACAACAAACAAAAATCTCAATCTGATTTTTGTTTGGACTTTGACTAGGCCACTATAAAATCTTAGCTTGTTTCTCAAACATTCAGCTGCAAATTTGGTCCATAATCCAAGTATGTTTTAGCTTAAGAAGTTGCATTTGAAGAAATTCCTGGTAATGATTAGAATTAGTCGAGGTCCTGAAGTGGCAAAGCAAACCCAAACCATGACACTGCCACCACCATGTCTTACTGTTGGTTAGTTTTAAGTCAGATTTAAAGGACACACATTCCAAAAAAATCCACCATTGTCTCATCAGTCTACAGAATATTTCCCCCAAGTTCTTGGGCATCATAAACATGTATTCAAAAACGTTTTGTAGTTTTTCACTTACTGTGACGGTTCATCATTGTTTCATGTTTCTTCCATTTGTGGAAAATGGATTTAATTGTACTGGAGTCCCAAAGCCTTAGAGATGACTGTCACCTATCCTTACTGATAAATGCCAGGATCTTTTTTTTGTTTTGTTTGTTTGTTTGTTTGTTTTTTTTTTTATCTCATAAGCTACTTTAGTTCCAAGCATAAATAGGGGAAATTACTTTTTCACATGAAGTCAACTTAAAAAAAAAAAAAGGCCTACAAGGTGGTATTTGCCTGATAATCTGCCACATCCAAGTGCAACAAATGAGAAAAACTAGAAATCTGTAAAAGGGAGCCATATTTTTCCACAGCACTGTAACATTATTGATAGTTAGAGGGAAAAGCAGCTGCTTAAATCCATTAATGAAAATGAACATATCCACTGCAACTAATTTATTGACATCCTGTCAGAAGTCTTTTTAATTAATCATCAGAAGAGATTCAGTGACACACATAGCATATCCAATGTTACATTGGGACTTTAAAATGTCACAAAGTGTAATGATGCACATAAATAATTCCCCAAATATTCGTTCTTTTGAAGAAATAAATTCATGTCAAGTTGACATCTGATGTGCTTTGGTGTGTAGATGTTATTTTGTACCTGAAGCAGTGAATGAACTGGGTTTGTGGGGATTTTTGACTATAGTGTTTGCAGCTAAAAATGCTTCTATGAATTCTGAACACTGCGAGCATTTCTCCATCACAAAACACTCCTGAGTCAGGGCCACCACAACCATGTCAAATGCAAAAAAAAAAAATTGCATATCATGCTTGGGCGAATGAATTTGCTGCCCATCAGTTTATAATGTTGGCTAGAATGAAGGTACACTATTTAAATCTGCTGAGGGACAAGTCTAACTGTCCAATGGAGCAAAGCAAACAATTTTAACTGTTTTGAATTCATCAACCTTTGATTAGTGTAACATCTTTTGACCAGATCTGAAAGATTTAAAACATGATTCTGCCCAGTTGTTCCAGTGTCCAAATATTAAATAACCAGGTAAGTCTCGGGTAAATGTCACTTCATCACAAATTTACTCTTATGTCATTGTGTAACTAAAAAGAAACAAGGTTAAATTAATTGCCCAGCTCAGGATTTGATTTTTATTTTCAATGTTGGTCAGAATATTTTCTGTTAAACTGATGAACTCCTGGAGAACTGCAGTGGAAAGCTTGTCATTATAGGTTACTCTTTCAAGTAGGCTCATCGTTTCAGCAATAACATGTTTTAGTCTGAAATATTTTCTCTACACATGTAATTAAGGTTTTACTGTTCAAAAAGAAAGTGATAACATGGCCTAAAATAAAGGCAGCACTGATTCTAACACACAGAATTACTCATTCAACTTAGGGTGAGCTTAATTATGAAAGGGATTCAACCTCATTACCATGCTTCTTCCCAGCATATTAAAGTGAAGTAATAACTCTGACATTGACAATCACCCAGGGTAATTCATACAGGATAATTTTGGATTCCTCCCACTGCATGAAGTGGAAATGCAAAGGTTACTAAAAACCAGGAACAACACAGATCTCAGTGTGTGATCTTTGGTCATTTCTCTGCAGCTCCTTTCATAAAGATTGTTTGTCTTTTTGTGTGATCTTGCAAACAGTTAACAATAATCAAACACTTTTCCCTTTGCCGTTTTCTGACAGAGCAGTGCTTTGTTCGCTTAATAAGCAGAAGGGATTCTATGATTGTTATGAAGTGATCCACAGAGTATAAAAAGTCTCTACTGTGTGAAATGACAGGACTACTGAATGCTCTTGTCTATTTTCACAGGGGATTTTATATCCAAGTCATGCATTATCTGCAAAGCAGAAAATATTGTGTAGATGCTGGACTTTGTATGCCTGAATGGTTTTGTCAGCAAATAAGTTAGTGAAAATCAGCGATCCTAACTTTAAACATTATTCTGTAACAACAAAAATATTCATACCCTTTGAACCTTTTCACATTTTGTCACAAATAATAAAATTGTGCATCATGTTGTTTCCAAAAGTTAAATTTTTGTCTTATTTTTTCCCACAGTTTGACCAATTTCATATAAACAAACTACTTTTGAATAGTTGTTTTTCACTCTCAGGCTCATTTTCAGTCATGCTGAAAGGAAACAATCAGTTTCCTATCAGAAGTCGAAAAGTTTAATTTACCATTTTTGTAATCCAAACTCATCTGCTTGTGATTTCTTGCTGTAACAAAACCGATCCCACCATATTTAATCTAGAACTGCAAAGTAAATGTGACCAAGAGCAAAAATATGATTCATCACTTCTATTACATTCCATAGTATAGTAAAAAAAAAAAAAGTCAGAAGTATTAAATTGAGGAACAGCTGGAGATATTTTATTTCTGAGCCATTTTAATTGTGCTAAGTCTTATAAGTCTGTGTGAACTGGAAACATCTAGGACACCTGCTGATTAACATCAAACTAAGAAATAAACAAATGGAGAAGTCTGGACTTGACATAATCAGAGTTCTGCAGAACAACATTATGCTTGCAGCATTTAGCCACCGTTGTTCTGTGTATAATTGAGTCTTAACCGTGTACAACATCAGCGCAGCTACAGAACAAATGAAGCAGTCATCTGTTCCTGAATCCTCCACCTGGGAATATATACATTACATAGACACTTGGTTCAGAAAACAAATAACCTACAGTAGAAACTAACTCCAGAGTGTCAGGGAAGTGAGAAAAAGTGTGAGCATTCATCTTTAGGTGTCACAGTAACGGAGAGGTATCAAGAAGTGCAATCACGAGTTATTTAAACAATAAAACAAAAAGCTAGGGACACGTAAAGTAAATTAAGTAGAGCGGTACAAGCTGATGCTGGTAAAAAGAACATAAAAAATAATAAGACATCAGTGCAGGAAGCTCTGCTGGAGCACTGCTTCGTTCCGTGCCCTGATTTTGCAAAGAAATGCTACCCAGGACTTTTCTTTTTTGGGGATTTTTTTCCCCCTTTTTTGCTAATGTTGCATAACTGAAACGCAAGCAGAAAGTACCTGAAAGGAGTTGAAGAATAGCTCACAATACATGCGAATCTCCCAACTTGGTCCTTCGAATGTGTGAGGCAGTCCGATGAAGATGATGTAGTGGATGCCAAACACCAGCACCAGCACAAAGGTGGACTTTGCCAATTTTCTGTAGAAGCAAAAACAATATTTATAGTTGAAACCCGATGCTTACACACGCACTTTTTCCTCTGCAACTTTTCCTTTTCTCAGCGAGTATAAACAAAATTATTTCTAGTTTTTAGGTATCAGAATCATGAGGTGTTATTTTAACTACTTTAACTACTTCTGATATTTTAAAATCAGAAGTTAAGCATTTATATGATGGGAGTTAAAATATGGACATTCAACATATGTGGAGACACAGCATTACTGGACATTAACAAAAATGTCACATTGTCCATTAGCTATTAGCAGAAAATCATAATAGTTAACAGAAATAGACTTGATAAGTAATTTATATAATATGTTTTACATAGAGTTAGGAAGGTGGTAAAAGTCATTTTAAAAATTAAGAATTAGTCTCAGTGTTGAAGACTGAATCTTTATGTGTCTAGCAAATACGCTGGTCTCCATTTTTCCAAAGCATAATACCAGTTTAGTATTCAAGTCCTACATGAGGTTAGAAATAAATCCAAATCAATAAAGTGTTTGGTTTGGCCTAATAAATCCAAGTACTATAGGAACTTTAAGAACATGTAGGTGGATAGTCTTTGTACTTAGTTTGATGATTTGCTCTATTTTCAAGTTTTGATTAGTGCATGGTTTTAAAAAAACTCTTAGAACTATGAACTCATTCATTTTCACGTTTTGTTTTATTTCTAATCCCTGCAGACAGAAACTAACAACACAGAAATAAGAGGTAGACTGTGATTTACTCCCCTTTTCAATTGAAACAAATGAGCCTAGCAAGCAAACAAGGGTAACTCAAACAACCTGCCTCCCTCATGTGCATTAATATTCATCTCTCATCCTCACAGATTTCTTGAAACTTAGTTTGGCAAAGTCATTCTACAAGCTTCCTGGTGCACTACCAGCTGTCATGCTATGTTTGACCTAAAGGTTAAAAAAAATAAATACTGATTCTGATCCAAAACATCACAGAAGATAAAACAAGCACAGAGCTATGTCATAAGTTTATGAGGGACTGTGATGTACCAATAAAATAGGATTGTTGCCTTTAAACCTGCAAAATGAGATAAAACTGTAATGCTCTGATGCCATCTTCATCATAGAATCAATCCAATAAAGTCTTTTTTCTCCCCATCATCCAGAATAGAAAAATATATTAGTGACATTAGTGGGAGTGCAGCGAGAGCAGCTAGTTTAATTTAAAATCTTCCTTTTGATAGAAATGAAATGTTTGTCTGTTAAAGATTGTTATATGAAGGGATAAAAATATGAAAAAGGAAATATGGTGACTTTCAAGAAATGCATTGGATAAAAGTATAAACAGCTGTGATTGATGCAACAAGCAACTGAACATTATCATCATCACTCGGCTTTGATTTTGCCTCTAAATGTGCCTGGTGAGTCTTTGGATTCATAAGTAACCTTTTGCCCATCAGTCACCACATTTTAATCCACTTTTATTACTCAAATGATCCGACTGGTGACACATTAAAAAATACATGAAGTCTTTACATCTGAAGTTGTGGGTTTGATTTGCAAGTACTTTCCTATTGGATTGCCGAGTAGGTTTAACTATCAGTTACTTTTGCTTTAATCACTTCACTTCTTTTTTAGAAACAATGACATCCATTGCATTTGACATGTTTATATGGTCCCCAGTTCGTCGCCCCTGATCACAACCATTTATTCTGAAATTGTCATCTCAGCTACATAAAATGTCTGCAGCATTCAAAACGGGACTCCTCTTGGTTGATACGCTATAATTATTATGTTTTTATCTGACATGCTGACGCCAGCACCAGCAGGGGAGGGAAAATACAGATAATTACAGATGTAGAAATGCGCGTTTGTGTGTGTGTGTGTGTGTGTGTGTACGCATAGCTCACGTAATGAGAGCTAGTTTCAACTTTCAACCACAAAGTCAAAATCAGCTTGACAAAACTTAATTTTGTGCCCTTACGTAAAGGTGAAACAACTTCCTTCCTTGGGATCACACTCAATAAAATTGACTGAACAAAAAGATTGTTCAGTCAATAAAATTAGGCCAACTTGATTGTAACATCCATCTCAAATTATAGCACATCTCAAAGCAGAACATGCAATCTTCACACAGAAAGGCCCAGTTAAGATTTAAACAGAGGACTTTGCTGCAGCACAAGTAATTTTTTTTTTTTTGACAAGCTATGTAATCTGTGTAAAGACAAGGTACAGATTTTTGAAGTATTTTAATTAGTTATTTTGTTATAAATATTGTAAGGCACTCTTTGATTGACAACACTGTTCCATGTAACTGAGGAACCTCTCACAAATGTGAGAGGTTTTAAATAAATATCCTAAGAAATATGTATTTTTTTCTTCCTTGTGACAATTACGGAAAGTTGCTGCAACTAAGAATGTCCCCTTACAGTCACAAGTGTCAGATTATGGCAAAAAAAAATAAATAGTTCATTGTTTGGTCTCCAAACTATTTCTGCCCCCCCTATGGATTAGCGAAGGGGTGGGAGGGGGGGGATCATTTTATCTTTTTTGGGGGGCAAAATGAATGTACATAGTCAACAACATCGGTAGCTTACAGGCTACTTGTTAAGCTTAAGGTACTGTATTGATATTAGCTGGTCATCTTTTAGCTAACATTACCTGCATCCAACAGCTTTACTCAACTCAGTAGGTTAGGTAGATGGAAAAACTGTGAAAAGTTCTTTGTGTTTTGCTGGTTTGCTGCCGTGATTCTAACACAAACCTGCGTAGCTCCGCACAGCAGCAGCAGGTCTCCTTCACTGCCGCACAGGTGTAAACCCAGCGCAAGAGTCGAAGCGCTCATGTTGCAAAGGCGGCTCGGAAAAACAGGTTACGACA